TGGCTGCATTTTCCTCCTGAGGAGGAGCAGAGGGCTTGATACATTCCACTCCAGTGCACTGATTCACAAATAACCTACATGCAGGTAGAAACAGAGCACGGACATCTGCTCTGAAGGAAGAAGAGTGTGCCAAGGGAAGCATGAGCCAGCTCAGCTCTTTTGAACACCACCCTTAAAACTCGAAGTCAAAAACATCCTTCCCGTCATACACGGTAACTGTAAACTAAATATGAGTGAAGGTGGTTCTGCACAGCTGGAAAACTCAGATTATTTAGGAGCCTTTAAAAAAGTTCTCCATTTCAACCAACTTCAGGGGATTGATAAAAGCTGTGCAAAACCCTTTAGCTCCACTGAGTCTGTTTAGCTGTTAAGCAAGGTAGTGCCAAACAGTCATACCAGTTCTACTGTCGAGATGAATCTACCCAGTATCTTACAGCCATTTATCCTCTGTGTGACTGCTGAGTGTGGTGAGAACATCAGCCTGGAGCAACACGCTCAACATTGACTCACCTCCACCCCAGCTGCTGCCAGCAGCCATCGTATCGGCTCCATTCGTCCTCTTCCATTGAAGTAGATGAGCTTGGGCTTCCCAGACATGCTTCTGAGTTCCTGGTTCCCTGAAAAATATCAAGCAGAAAAGAGTATCTGGTGTAAATATCCTTATTTTGAAAGAAAAGCCCTCTATTTTCACTGCCTCACTTCTGCTGGATTAAAAGATAACATGAGATGGACCTGTGACACCACACAGTCTGTACTGGGAAAGGGAAGATATGCAGATCTGTAGAGTCTTTCCTACCTCTAGCAGTAAGATTTTTTTTATGGTTATAAGCAAACACACATGTTTAAACATGCAATATGATTGCAGAGCTACAGGTGGAACCCTGCTGCATTTTAAGACAATTATACAAAGTCCCTAAAAAGCCTTCTACATCCTCAGATAAGTTGTGTCAGATATTGGAACGCATCATGCAGCTTCAACCATCATCCAAATCTTTCCTCAAGTAGGAACAAAAAAATTTCTAATCTTCCCTTTTATTCCCTGGCCCAGGCTGAGCTGCTTTGGCAGTCCTATTGACTCTATAGTGTGTACTTAAGGGCAGCCTGGAGACTTCCCTTAAAAACAGATTGGTAGCTGCCTCTATAGTTTCAGGTGGCTCCCTCAACTGTCCCCACCACTTCAAGGGTTCTCTAGGGGCATGTTCTGTTTCTTCTACAATGTCTAGCTGCTTCTCAGGCAGTAGTTTATCACAGTTAGCACAGCTGAGATAAGGAAATAGTTCTAGCAGATTTAAGGGACCCTTATGAAGACGTCCTGCCCATGCATCCAGCCTGTCCATCCCACCGGTACCTCCTGCAGCTTCCCATTGGTGACCCCTCCTCGTGGCTCCCAGGGCCCCCTGTGCACTCTGTAGTGTAAGTCCTTCATTAAATCTGTCCTGTTTAACCCCTTATGAACCTTGAGTATCTCTCTCCACTGTATCCAACCCTCTCTTGCCTGCCTTGTGGTTACATTTGGTGTAGTTGGTGAGATACCAGTTTGGAGATACCTCTTCAGGGGCAAAAGGAAAAATAATGTGCTGTTCTGGCCACCTGCATTGCAAACAAATGGCAGCAAGAGGGACAATGAGGGGTCCATCCCCATATGCTGCAGACACTGGTGGAAAAAGCAGATTTGGATGGGGAAACTTGGGATAGGAACACCTGGGACTTTGATAATCCCACAGCTCAGAGCCAGACACAGAGTATAAGGGGGAGCAGCAGCCCAGATGGTGTAGGAGCAGCAGCTTTCTGGACCAAATGCAGCCCTCTGCAAGGGACCACATCTATCTGTAGTTTTAAAGCATCAGAGCTGCAGGCCATGCAGCAGCGCTACCGGCAGCCACGAGGAGAAGGGCTGTCAGAGGGACTGGGCAGGCTGCACGAGGGAGGATGGGGCAGGTGCTGAGAAGCCCAGTGGGATGGGGGCCCCAGGATCCTCCGCTGTGCAGTGCCCACCACACTTGTGGCAGCAAAACCAACGTGTTCCTCCTCCCTCCCTTCCCTTCCTCCCTTCTTCCTTCCCCATCAGCCTGGAGCAGCCAATGAACATGGCATGGTTAACACGGCCAGCTGCTGCAGACATCCATGGCGGGTTTGCTGAGCGGGCTACTATCGTGGCAGGGATAAAGCAGCTCTGGGAACTAGGGATGTTGTTTGGCATTTTCTCCTCCAAGTTTACAGGATCGACATTGGCAAAACCATCCGGATTAAAATGCTGTGGACCACCCCCACCCCACACACATCTTGAAGTGATGGTGCTCTCTGCGATAGGGATGGGACAGGCGAGGTGGAGAAGCAGCAGAGCTGCTATCTCAGCTAGCAGAGGCTGCTCTGCTGGCACTGGTAGGCGGGCAGGGAACAGGCAGGTAAACATGAAGCAGAAAAAAAGGGGAGCACTGCACTGTTACGAGAGCTGCTGTGAGCCGGCGCGCTGAGGCGGGAGGAGGACAGCAAAGCCAGCAGAGCTGCTCAAGCAATGACTGCAGCTGGAGCCGCGTGCACAGCCTGTGGGACAGGGGGAAACAGCCAGCACTCACTGGGGCCCCTTTTCTTTTGGATGGCTCTTATACTTTAAGACAGCTACTACTATTTTGAGAGGCCACCTTAAATGGGACCCAGTGGAACATCCAGTGCCTACCACTGTTGTTAACACTAAACAGTACTGAGTAGCTGGAGGGCATGATGAGCTAATGGATACCAACTGTGGCCTTTTGGCTGCTGGCATCATTCACCCAGCAACCAGTGCCTTTAATAGCCTCATCCAGACAGTGAAAAAGATAGGTAGATCCGGAGAATGACAGCACAACTCCCATGTTGGCTGCAGCTGGGTCTGACACAGTGTCCATCATGGAATGACTGGCACAAGAACAGGACTCTGGCATGTGGTAACAGACCTGGCAAATGCCATTTTCTCTACTGTGGTCACACAAAGTAGCCAAAATCAATCTGCATTTACCTAGAAAGGTTACCGGTATGACCAGAAGTGTGGCAGCTTCAGGATGCTGCCACAAGGTTATAAACATAGCCCCATCTTCTGTCACCTCTTGGTAAGTAGGGGCATTGACTGGGTGACCCTGCCTGGTAAGACAGTAACAGGACGCCCTGTTGACGACATCCTGCTAAGCAGTCCCAGTGAAGCAAGCCTTGTTGAGGCAAAGACACAGGCCCTAGATGTGTCAACCAACAGAGGGTGGGTAGCCAACTCAAGCAAAAAAAAGTCATCTTTCTAGACATACTCTCATCAGGTCCCCAGAGGAAAACACCACAAAACACAACATCAAGACCATTACTCACTTCCCTGAACCACTGTCAATAGGTCAGGCCCAGTCCTTCCTAGGGCTTACGGGGTACCATCAAACTTCTGTCCACATCTTAGATACCTTCTACGGCTCATACATACCATAGTAAGGAAAAAAGCTGCCTTTGATTGGGGGCTTGAGCAGGCTTTGCTCAAGCTAAAGAAGCCTGAAGTCAGCACACAATTTTGAGCCCAAGAAGAGGAACCCCTTTTCAGCTGGAAGCCACCATAGCAGGTGACATAGCTTCATGGGGTCTGTGGCAAGAGGCCTCAATTTGTAAAGAACTAATTGGATACTGGTCCAAAATATCACAAGGTTCATGATACACCCCAGTGGAACAGCAAATATTAGCTGTAGTCTGCACTCTTCAACAAACAGAAGCTATCACAGAAGGTCCAGACCCAGCGGTAGCATTGACTCCTTTGTCCAGAATGGGATGGATCCAAGATGAAGGCCCACCAGCTACAAGTGGTACTGCACAAGTCCAAACTTTGTGCAAGTGGGAGAATTATCTGGTAATTATTACTACCAGTTCTAAAATGCAGATAATTACTGTGTTTTGCCTGTAAGACGGTGGCTGCATTAGATTCTGTATATGTGACGTGTTTACTGTATGAGCATAGCTTATCTGTGTAGTTCACAACAGCTAATTATTGACTCTTAAATTATCATATTTTTAAAACACATTGCATCCATATCATTTCAACACACACATTGCACCGACTTATAGCAGTTACTTATAACAAATAAGATTTTGGCTTTCTTAGTTGGAGGAAAGCATTATGCAATACCGAATATGTGAGATGTAATCCTCTTGGGAAAAGCACGCATGTTTTACATAACAAAAGCTGAGGGACTGAAGAGTTTTAGGAATCATTTTACATGAACAGGAAATTCTATATGGCATTAAGTTATGGGGAAAAAAGAACAATAACAATTGGAGAATCAAAATCTGGTATCAGTTACTTTTCATTGAAAAAAAAAGAAAAGAAAGAAAGAAAAAGGAAGTAACTCCATCATTCCTAAGTGGAATTTGTTTGTCCTAAGCTTTTGATATAGAGAAAGACTTGGGGTTGGTAGTCTTCAAATCTCTAGATCCACTCAATATCTCCATGGAATTCTATAAGGAATCACATCTTGTTCCCCTATGGATGCCTGTATGTAGGTACCCAAGTCTGGAGCCGCATCTGACCCCAAGGGCTCAGCTCTGTTCCCCCTGTCTGTGTCTGGTACCGCTTGAGACTCCTGGGGAGGGCAGCTTTGGCTCAGGACTTGCTGGAACCCTAAAAACATCCACAAAGGTGGCCTGGGGCCTGGCAGAAAACACTAGAGCATTTCACACTATGTGGCAGCTCACTTTGCTTCCCCACACATCCTCTCCCACTGCAAACAGTGGGTTACAGCCTGCCTTTTTCACGGCTGAACTAGTCACGGGATTCAATTCATAAGTAAACAAAACAACAAAAATCTTCCTCCTCTCTCCAACAACCCCCAAATAGTAACAATAAAGCTATGCTTAACCTACCTTGCACATGAACTAAAGCCTGCAAAGGATATACATGACCTCAACAGAAGCCCTGGTTATACAGAGATAGCTTCCCTATAAACAGCAGCTCCAACATTTTACAAAGAAGGGAAGCGAAAAAGCTGGTACATACCTCCTGGCTTTGACTCAGGCTCCGCTAATACAAACAAGCTCCTTTGGCTTTTTAAACTTTGGAGCTCCTCCTACCGCTGTGGGAGTTTCCATCCATAGCCAATATAAGTGAAAACTGCCCATTGCTAATTAACTGACACTACCAAACTTAAAAACACACTTTTCTCAAAAGAGCCATCCAAGACAGGCTGCTGATTTGACTGTAGCAGCCATCTATCCAGGTTCTTCTGGTGGAATTACCAGAATTTGGAAGGTGGAACCAGAAGGTGGAATTACCTTTCACTCAATTACAAGGGTGAGATACTTTAAAGCACTGAGAAAATAATAGACTTCTGTGGATTATATTCAAGATAACGGTAACTGTTTAAAGACTTACCAGCAAAATTTATAGCCTTATACAACTTTTCAACAGTAACCTTTCTTTCCAGTGGTCTGCTGTACATCAAAGATACCCAAAGTACAGAATAAGGGTGCCCAATTACTTTGAAATACATTTCCAATTTGAAATACATTTCCAACAAACATATATGTATGTACAGTCTGTGATAACTTGGCATTAAAAACCAGATCATAGAATCATAGAATCATAGAATTCTTAGAGTTGGAAGGGCCCTCTAGAGATCATCTAGTCC